ACATCTGTATACTCCAACAGTAGGGTCAGACAGTGCAGCATCTGGCAATACAGAATAGCTGAGGAACTCTATATACCCAAGGATGATCAGTTCTCAGCCAAGACCAATATAGAAAGTTAGCTGGCCAGCACCAGCCAAATGAAATGCCACAGCGATTCTTCCACCTGGCTAAACCAGCACAGCTGCTTCGCACCACAATGGGAATTCACGTGGATTTCCACTCATCGCCATCCTACGGCAGCTGGCAACGGTTGCTTCGAGGTAAGTTGGCGAGTGACGGCCAAAAGCCACATCCCCGGTTTTCTTGACTACGTTCTTTTCAACCTCTGGGCTGCTGTCCACACATATGACCTCCGCCGGCCCTGTGGTAGTAGCTGTTTTGGACGTTTTCAGAGAACCGACATTGTCTGGAACAGCAGCTGGTTTTTTGTCCTCAGGGCTATCCACGCACAGGACTTCGGTGTCTTCAGGAATGGGGCGCCTTGGGGGGCGGTTGGCACGAACAAATCTGTGGCCAGGAAAAGATTTGTCTTTACTGGGAACAGCAGTGGCTTCGGCAACTAGCAGTGCGACGTTCTCCAACCTGTCGGCTGGCATTTGGACATTCTCTTTCTTGATGACCAGGTTGCTGGCAGTGATGGTCACGGACCTTGACGACACAACGGGAGAAGTACGCAGCCCGGCTCTCTTCAATGGGGGGCTCTTGCACGGAGTGGAAACTGGAGATGACTCATCTGTTCCATCGCTCGTGCTTTGCTTCCGCTTGGTGTCGGAGGCATTGTTCTGCAAGTGCACCTGCTGGCATGGAAAGAGGGATCGGATGTCCTTCTGGCGTAAGAAAATAGGTGATAGCAAACGGTGAAAAGAAGAGTCAGAGCTTACAGAGGGCGACACATCGTCATCGTTGAAACTGTTTGGGAGAAAGTCTTCCTGGCAAAGCTCTTCGGTAAGAAACTCCGCAACGGCGTCAGCAGATGGTTCAAAATCGGCATCGTAGCCACGAAAGTCTTCGGCAGACATGGCCAGGAATGGATCCACACCTTTCGGAGGGAGAGGAAACAAAACAATGAGACTAACAATAATGAGAGCAATGAGACGGCAACAACAAAAAGAAACAAAGTCACGCTTTTTCCAGAAAGAAATGTTGGCGCCAATATTTTCGAGAATAATGCGGTGCTGCTTGCTACCCAAAGACGGAGGCAGCTGAGTAAGACGCATCTATGTAATTAGGCAGGCAGGCACGTTGGCATGTAATACAACTATGTAGAAATGATAATATATAAACAAGCATTCGAAAGACAATGCTACGATACATAGGCATTTGGATGGCATGCCCCGGGTGCAACAGACGCAGACTGCCATTCTAAATAGGGGGACTTTTATCCGTATTATTGCCATGTGACCGGTGTGCAGGAGAGGCCACCTCTAAGAAAACAAAACGTACAAAGCGCGTTGGCGGCACACCGTACAACAAGGAGGGCTTTCTTGATTTGCAGCTCACATTTTTGTGATACCGGGATTGTAACCAACAAAATGCCAAGAGGACATCAGGCGAGATTGCGGCGGGCGAAGACGTTTGCTAAGAGCTTGATTCGGCAGCTTCGTCCAACCGAAACAACAAGCGGCAGTGACCGGAAACCTCCTATAAGAACGGCGAAAAGGTACAAAAAGAATGAGAGGCACAACAAACGAAAGAGCAAAGAACGCGACGTATTTGCTGAAATCATTACTGGTTTTCCCACACTTCAAGAGCTCAAGGATGTTGTGATGGATGCGAAGACAGCAGTGGAGTTCCTCGCGAAGAAAGGAATCATCGATATTCCAACAGTCTGTGGAAGGTGCACGTCCTCCATTAAACCAGAGTTCGCTCCAAGGTACAAGTCAAGGTGCCAGAGAGTCAACTGCACTTACACACCACCGACCAAGTGTGAGGTTTGTCCAAGCACGGAACTGTCCTCATTCAAGACATCTCATGGAGACACAGGAAGGGAGTGCACAGACATAGAGTGTCGCTGGAAATGGTTCCCTGGTCAAGCTCATTGTTGTACATTCTTCCGAGGAAGCTTTCTGCAAGGGTGTAGACTGCCAAAGAACGAGGTGGTACACTTTATGTACCTGTGGCTGACAGGAGCAATGCACAAACAGATTTGCATCCAGCTTGGATGGTGCAACGAAACAGTCACAGATTGGAACAAGAGGATGCGTCAGCTGGTCCAGGAGATGGTGATCAGCCAATCGCACGTCAACAACATGATTGGAGGGAATGGAATCATTGTGGAGATAGACAAGAGCAAGTTCGCGAAGAGGAAATACAACAGGGGACGCAGGGTCAAAGGAAACTGGGTGCTAGGAATGGTGGAACGAACTCCTGAAAGGAGGATGGTCATGCTTGTTGTTGCGAACCGTGACAAGAAAACGCTGGAGCACGCAATCAGAACCTTTGTTCATCCTGGTTCCACCATACACGCGGACACGTGGAAAGGATACATCAGTCTCGAGCGACTGGGATACACTCACAAGACACTGTGCCATAAGTATGAGTTCATGGCAGCCGATTCCACCCACACTCAGACTATTGAAGGGAACTGGACGCCGTTGAAGAAGGCAATTCCAGTACAGTGTCGGTCAGGAGCGGACCTCCAGGAATACCTCTTTGTGCAATACACGGCTCTTAGCCTTATTCGCGACTCGATCCTAGATAGGGTTTGAGTTCGACGCATGACGTAGTCCTTCGCGAATAGTCATTGAGACAGGGTTCTCATGACTGCTAGTCATACTAGGTTGTCGATGAAACATCGCTCTAGATATTTAGCCGGCGTGGAAAGCTTCCACGCTACTAGACAGCTACTAGCTGAAGTTTCCACGTGTTCCGGAAATGGACCGTGGAGTACGTAGAGTTATTGCCATAACCTACGATATCACACTTCGAGGCCTCCCGCGGGAGACCAACTTCAATGAGCTTCACAACGATCTCTCTCATGGATTAGTTTTCGTAGCTTTCTAATCTCTCTCATAACTTTCATTCTCTCAAACTCAAAACACTCGAAAGATCTTTACACTAGCTTTTAGCGTAGTGCATTTTGTTAACAAACACAATAGCTTTCAGCTACCCTCAACCTATTCCTTCACCATGAAGATTGCTCAAGGAAAGCATGCGTTCACCAACTTCGAGAAACAGTTGCGTGACAAACCCATTCTTCCTCTCGTGGACAACGACGAAGACGCCGAGATCGACGATTCTCGTGCAACCACCTACAAACTTCGCACCGTTCCTGCAGATGCAAACAGTGCCAAATATACCTTCAAGGTAGCCATCATCAATGGTTCCGACACTCCGCGTCAGACCATCAAGTGGGCTACGAATATGGAGAAGGTCTTCGTTGGACTCAACCTTGCCAATGCCGACGACAAACATCGCCTTCTCAAGGAGATGACTTCCAGCTCTGCGGAGAGTGCCTACGAAGCTGGGTGTGCAGGCCATCGTGCAGTGCGTCATCACGCCCTACGACAAATTGCTGTGAACGCAATTCCTCTACGCAATGTGACTTCTGGAGAAACCGAAGTCCAATTCCAAGCTCGTGTCCAAGCCGCATGGGACGGTGCAGCGGAACCCGCTCTAAGCGATGCTGACATCACCTTTGGAATCAACGCGGTTATCGAAGCAGCCTGCCCTTACAAGGCTCTCGAAAAACAGGAACGCTTCATGCGTCGCAAGATGCGTAAGCCTAGCGAAATGACAACTCGCGCCTACATCAACAACCTCACTCGGATGAATACCGATGAGAGCTTCACGATTTGCCATCGTTTCTGGTGCATATCATGAGCAGTTGAACTAGGACGAAGTTCATTGACATTATCTGTCATGGAATTCCTCGTCCTGGATGCGCAAGATGGACAACACGACTTGATCCTTTCACTGCCGGATGACAGCGCTCATTGGATTCTGTGGCGCATGGAATCCGCTGAAGACTTTGACAAAGGCAGTGATGCCAAGCAAGACTTCGAAGAAGAACAACAACAGCAAGAAGTACAATCTACTCGCAACAACGACTATTCTTCCAAGAGCGAAGGAAAGTGGTGTGATTACCACGGTCCAGCACTCCACATAATTGCCATCTTGATATGCATTGTAGACCTGGTCGTAATGAG